AAACCTTAAAATAATATTTACTTGGTCAAATTTTGAAATGAATATCCAAAAATGCCCTTGTGTAATGAGATTTAATTTATTTTCCTATAGAATTATAAGATTATCTAATGTAATTATAAGGAAAAAAGTGCCGAATTTTTCATGTCCATACCTACTATTTGATAAACAATTATAATAATAATTTTATCACTATGATAGGATACTTTTGATAGTATTTTGTTATGGATTTAGATTCATAAGATAGAAAATAAAATGTTGAAATAATTGATTCAGAGTTTATGAATTTTTTGAGTAGTGGGATTATCATAATTTAGTAGTGATTTTGGGCAATTTCTTTTTGATTTATTGTTAATTTTAATACTAAAAATTAGAAAACAAAGATTAGCAAAAAACATCAGATTACGTATAAAGTTAACTCATAAAAAAAAAATTAGTTCGACATTTGGTTACAATAGAAACTAGAGATAATAGTAGTAATTTTATAATTTTATTGGCAAAAAATTAAAATAAGAAGGAAAAAGAATGAAATATAATTTTAAAATCATTCTAAGTGTAAGAATACCAAACAAGGGAATTTCATTAAAATATTTAAGGGTAGTATTGTCATTTTAAATGATAAGAGAGATATGTGTAATTTTCCAATCCTCAAGGGTAGGGGTGTGCAAAATCGAAAAATTCCGATTTACCGGCCGAATTCGAATTGAATTCGGAATTTTTGAAATTGGTAAATCGGAAATCGGAATCGAATTCGGGTTTTCCGAATTCATATATTTAGAATTTGGTTCGAATTCGGTAATGGAGTTTTTCAAATCGGAATTCGAATTCTGATTTCGATTTCAAATTCGTTTTTAATATATAAATATATTTTTTATACATGTAATATAAAATTTATACTATATAAAATTTATATAATATAATATAATATAATATTATATAATATTATAAATTTTATATTATATAATAATATATAAATTTTTCCGAATTCGGTGAAATCGGAATTTACCGAATTCCGAATTGAATTCGGTACGAATTCGAATTCGAAATCGAATTTGGTCGAATTATCAGATACCAAAATTTCGAAAAATTCCGAATTCAAATTTCCGAATTACTGATTTCGAATTCGATGCACACCCCTACTCAAGGGAGCTTAGTAAAATTGTCAAAAATCTCAGGGGAGGTTTCTGAAATTATCCCTATTATCTTTTATTCGCCTAAACTTTTGTGCTCTTAATTTTTACCTCACAATATGGTACCTCCAGGCATAGTACCTTTTAATTTTTAAATAGGATAACAGTTAAATAAAACCCGACATGAGAACCTTTAATATCTGGTGCATAATTAGACAAGGGGAGGAAAAAAAAAAAAGAAGACTGTACGCCATTTGGTTCTTGAATAATGAGGATTTTCCCATTAATATTTGGTGAATAATAATTAATTGAGTTGGGATTTGACATGAAGAAATTAAGCATTTGTTTGCTTTAAAAGACTAAAAGTGAGACGACAAACCAATGCTCAAAGCATTGTTTACGTTTAATGCTAATCAACCAAATTATTTTGCCAGGTGACAGTCTTGTCAACCCTGCGTTATTCTCGCATGAGAAAGTAGCCCTTTAAAATTCTGACTAAATCTCGCAATAAATCTAGACTTAAAGAGTTAATTAGCATATGTGGTAATTGAAAGTCTCATAATAATATTTGGACTTGAAATAATTAATCAGCAAATGTGACAATTGGAAGTATGCACAGATGTTCATAGCAAAGCTTTACTATATCTTCACGATTCACGTAATCTCCCCTATCAACAACCTTTCCCATATTTTCTCAATTACATTTTTTCCCTTCTCTAATAAAAACTTATAGGGCACTAAATTCAAAGACTAGTGTACAATGTAAAATGGTTTAAATCATGAAAGGCCTGATCATTTCAAACTAAATAAAAAATACAAACGTAATTGAATCCCAATTTAGCCAAATGAAAGGTGTTCAGATTACTATTTCAAAAGGAAAATAAAAAAAAAAAAAAGAGAATTTCTCCAATGAAATACTTTAACTAGAAGGTAAATTTTGTCGTTGCGGAGTTTTACCATAGTAGCTTATAGAAGAACTCCTATATGAAATTTTCACCATTCTGGAAATCTCCCCTATCAAAAGTCTTTCCTACATTTTCTCAACTCCATTTTCTCCCTTCTTTAATGAACAAAACCTTTCGAAATGCTCTAAATTGAAAAATGCCAAATTATTTGTTTTGTTTTTTAAAGATACAGGAATCATCTACTTCATTCCCCAATTCAGCTAAAAGGAAAATTAGTACAACCCACTAAAAGGAAAATTAGTACAACCCAAAAAAAAAGTGCCCAATTTACGTGCCAGAAATTTTTACATCCCCATGCAAAAGTTCTAACCTAATTATCCTTGAATTTCTCCACAAAGACCTGTGGCTGGGGCTGGGAAATTTCTTTGTTTTGCTGCACACCAAAGACATCATCATCCCACACAACTTCTTCTCCTTCTCCATAAATTACATGGCTCAAGAGTTCTTGAAAACTCATCTTGCTTTGCCACTCCCAAACCTGCTGCAGCTGCTTCTCATCATAGGCCCACTGGAAAGATCTTTGACCTGAATCCTTTGTGTTCTTGAGCTTCTCAATTATCTCATGCGGCTGGGCAACATGCAAATTCTTGGGCTCGTTCTTCTGACCTGCTCCTGGCTTCTCCACTGCCTTCTCCATTATTCTCTGCGATGAAGATGATGATGCCATTGCACAGCTTCTGAATCTAACAAGAAGCTAATACATATGCATGTGGCATGATGTACATGTGTGGGAATCTTACAAAGACAGTGTGGCAGAATTGGTAACTATTTATAGGAATTTAACTAGTTTTCCTTTTATGACGGATTTTTGTTAATGGTATAGGACCATTTAGTGTTTAGTAAGTGAAGCTAGCAAATTAACGATGGACGTAGTCAACATGCATATGATCTTGTTAACGTTTTGGTAAGTAAAATAAGCAAATCAAATCATATGCGAGTGTAAGAATATCAGTCAGTCAGTGTATAAAAAGTTAATTCATTAACAATCAAACATTCAATTGAGATTTTTTTTTCGTTTAAATTTCCTTTTTGTGACGAAGTTGAGGAGTTGTCCCCAATTCCTTAGTGTGAAACTCTACCATAAGATTTCTATATTTTCTTCTTTCGATATTTTCTTCTAAAAATGAGGTGGTTTTTGGGAGGGAGGAGGGATTAAATTTGTAACACATTTACATGTGAGATTATCTTTGTAAAAGTTTCAAATATTGATTCCAACCCTTTTCTTGTATTCATGAAGAACGTATGGTACTACAAATGTAAATAACTTTTAAAAGTGATTCAATCACTCTACTAATTGAATGTGCTGGTGATATATTGCCCATTATGTGGAGATATACAAATTTTAAGTCAAAGCTATTAATAAGCAAACATTTTTTTTTGTCAATATCAAGTGTATAAATGCATTTATATGAACTTCTTCTTTAACTTTAGTTTTTTTTTGGTTGCTGCTACAGTTGCAATTGTAAATGGCAACTTTTACAGCTTTTGGCAAAGGAATTCCGCCTGATATAAGGCAGGAAAACGAATCAAAGAAAAGGACAAGCCAAATTTGAAACATTAAGCACCAAGCCTATGCATCACCTAAGACAAGAAACTCGTAAAATGTCTCAAATCTCAAACAAACTTTAATCTTTTTCAATCTGGTGGCAGGGATGTGATGAAGTAGATAGGGAGCTTATCTTCATAATAAAGTTGTACAAATACTCTCAACCACGGAAATGATACTAGACTTTAAACTAGTGAACAACTATGAAGGGGTACTAAAAATGGTGAACAAAATATAGAGTAAAAGAGCACAATAGGCTTGATGGCGAGTCAAGCCGCTCAAGAGTAATTCGGTCAAACACTCGGCTGGAACTCGAACTCGAGTTGATCAAGTTTGAACTCGAGTTCAAGTTACTCAACAAAGAAAACAAGTTAATTTCGCGCATTGTTTTGTGCTACTTGAGTGCTCATTGAATAACTCGAGTATTTATTATTATTTATATAATATATTAATTATAATTATGAAATAACCAATAAAGGTTTGGTACTACTCGAGCTTGATTCAAGAGCGCCCTTAGAGCACAAACTCGAGAAAAATTACTCGGTTTCTTACCAGATCCACATAATATAATCATTTGTACCATTCGATAAACACAACTTTTAGTTGAATTCAGAATTAAAAAAAATAATTATTGAATAAAATATGTAGTTATTTAAGTAAAACCATGTTTATGATTATGATGTTGAGGAAGCTTCCCCTTTAATTGTCTTTTCCAATTAATCCCCGTGTTTACGACTTCCAAGTATGGAGATGCCATAATAAGTTTCAAATAAACCTGTTAGGCACCAGCCCTTGCATCCTTCTTTCTCAATTTTATTTTCTCATTTTTGTGGGGTATAAAATCTAGCAACTGTCTCATTCAAATAATCATTGACATGGTTATCTTTTCTAATGATTCATCTAATTCACTTGAGTTTGACAAGTCACTTTTAAATACTAACTAAATAACTAAAGTTCAAATTTGTAAGTTACAAAATATGGGCCACAACCAAAATAATAGTAATCATACATGAATGTTCAGCATGGGACTATCCAGGAAATTTTCTTTGAAAAAATTGTGGATGCATCAAGTATTGGCCACCTCAAAGCAAAAAAGACTATGGGACGGGCACAAGCTAAAACATCAGTCCAAACCAGTGTGCTGGAAAAGAACTTGCTTCCAAAATTCCAACAAGACGGACGAGATCCAAACTGGATTTCCAGCCAGGCAAAAATAACCTTGCATGTAATGCTTTCATATTGATGACTGGCCAACGCAAACTCCTGTTCAGACCTATTTCCTTCATCCTGTACCACAAGAATTACAGTCAACTACATATATGCATTTCCCAAGCTTAAGAAACACTGTGGTGATGCATTATCTGGTTCTAAATGCATTGTTGTTCTATTAACACAAATTTTTTTAAACTACAAATAGTGCAGTTAACAGTAAAATCAATTGCATACATTAGACAAAAGTTCACATTCACCTCACCTCCAAGAGAAAGTACAACACATGAATAGATCTACTACGACTTGACAAATACTGGACCATCTAGTGCCAGGAGGGTCAGGTAACAAGAAATATTCTACCACAAGTGACACAAGAGCAAAAATACAGGTGCTCCTATACCAAATTACTTGTAGTCCATGCTTCAAAACCTACGGTATATAAAAGCGCTGTATGGTACAACTCATATCACCCCCTCCATACGATGTTCTGTAACTAGAGCAACAACAGCACTAGGTTTTCCATTGGATGAAAATATCTTCTCAGGTGAACCAAGGCGAGTTGCTTTGGCGGCAAGGACAGGCTAATCCCAACAACTTAGGAACTACAGAGCGAACAATGAAAGGGCCAAAGAAGAATAAGTTTTTCAAACACAAAATTTGAGAATCTTGTCAGATACATTAAGCTAGCACTATAACAAATTAACATCACAGAAATGATGGCACATAGAATTGATGGCATCTAAATTCATTACAGACATTAATATATGAAATCATTCATAAGCAGAAGACAAATAATAACCAACTTCAGGCCCTACTCATTCTGTGTGAATCTTGTGACTAAAATCCTAATTTCTAAAGAAAAAGCAGAAAGGGTCTGCTAAACTTCAGAAAATCGATCCTAAACCACACTGTCTTAACTTTTTATTGCATTAGCCAAAAATCTGTATATATTCTCTACCTTCTCATACATCATCTTGCCAACATCAAAGCATGCATGCCTTATTTGCAAAAGTAAAAAAAGAGAGAAACATCACCAGTACCGAATATTGAATTCCAAAAGTCAAAACCACCTTACAAGTGTAATGAGATTTTAAAACCTCATGGAAATCACATTTAAAATGAGAGAGAACCTAGATTTCGAGACAACCTTACAAAATGCGAATAAAACTAAGATCAGGAATAACTATCAGGGCTGAACAAAAATAGTTGTTGAAACATGATCTACAACGTACGAACTAACCCACTCATCTTCTTCGCACTGCAGCACTTTGTCCACGTTGCTGCACCTGAGAGCCAGCTTGTCCACCACCCTGTTGTTCCTCAGGCATGTTCATTGCTTGGGTCATAGCATTCATCACAATAAGTCCCAGAGGAAGCAAGTACATCCACTGAAAGAGAGATGGAAGAACAATGAACACCAAAAGAAGCACCAGTAAATCTCATTATCAGATCAGGAACAACCACAAGTATATGGCTATAGTGATTCTCACATATTTAGCCCAAAATGATCTCTCTGGAGGTGCTACTCCTTCACCTTCTCCATTCTCACCAACAGCAGTTTCTTCAGAAAATACTGGAGTTCTGTTACAAATATTTTGGTCAATTACATACTCATCCCAATTATAAAAACAAACTTGAAGATGTAGACAAGGGAAAGTACTGGAGTTCTGTTTCAAATATTTGGTCAATTACATACCAATCCCAATCATAAAAACAAACTTGAATATGTAAACAAGGGAAAATAAAGGGTATCAAAAGGAAATGTAGCATATTCGTTCCTCCTAATGAGTATAAAACAAATAAACAATATTAAATCAAGTGAATTCCCCAAATGGTCCAGTAAATTTGTGAAATTGAAAGTGCTTCGACTTAAACAAAGTTTGGTTTAGCAACGATGAATTACATTATTTGCACCACAGCAAAACACAAGAAGGATGACAATCACTATATGGTTACAAAAGACACCCTAATAAACAACGGGAAAAACTAAAGCAAAAATCATACAAACTAGAAGATCACCTTGGCGCCTGCTCACCACTCTTTAAGACAGTGTGCGAGTTAAACAACCACCTTTTTGGCTGCAAAAGAGACAATAAAATCATATTAAGACATAAAATGATATCTACCCATAGCAGTTTTTCAGTCAACAGTTCCCTACAACTTAAAAGGCATGGTATAATCATAGTACTTCTACAGGAAAAGGTAGCAACCCTTACAAATCTTCAAATTATCCGAGTCAGTCAATATTCCAAATTAAGTGTCCAGCAAGATCGACTGATGTATTTCGATCAAATACAGGAAACTTTAAATGATTATTCTGGCTACTACAAGTATTAAAACAAGGTCAGGGAAGAAAGGAAAAAACGAATTGCTAAGTATGCACTTACAAATTTCAAGTGCCGAGGATATTGACATGCTCCTTGAGAACCATAGTTAACAGCCAAGACATTGACACCATCCTGGAATTGTATATAAGCAAATAATGAAGCATGTATTGCCACAACAAAAGAAAGTCAAATTTGAAAATGTCCAAAATTAGAAGCAAAAAATTAAAACCCTGAATATAAAACAAGAAAAGGCATATATGAGAACTTGCATGGTAAACATTAGCAAATGTCCAGGAATAGACTTTGTTTATTCCAGTAGCATACTTCAACAAAGCATTGGAACTTTCTCAGCTCATTTCATCTTCCTCAACATGCAAGGTAGAGGCTATTACATGGTTAGGTCAAATAACAACGACTAGAAGAATATACAAATCCACCAAAATTGATCTTATGTTCATGACATATAAGTCGTTATAATTGAGGTAGAAGCAGATACATAAAACAACAAACATGGGTTTTATGTCAACTGGCATGAAGTTCAGTCAGCTGCACCAGCATTCGTAGGTACAATGAAAAAGTCAAAAGCTGGAAGTACAGCATTAGACTGACAGAATAGTTTTAAGAAGAAGAATATTATTTTATTCATTATTTCACCTTTTTTTAAACTTCAAAATATACTGGCAAAACCTTCATGAAGCACAAGAATCCATCCAAGTATATTGACTACACAGAACACAAAATCCTCCAATAGAATTTCTCAATCCTAGAATTCATAAAGGAATGTGGTTATTTGACACATTCACCAATTCATAGAAGTCTCATGATATGCTTTCAAAGAACACGTGGATATGAAAGTATGACGCTGTGCTACATGCAGACAGCCAAAGTTATACAGGATATGCTTTAGAATAATTTAACACAAAAGGCAGAAGTCCTGAAAAAGATTAAGAAAAATCATATTCAAGGATTTAGTTCATGCAATATAGAACATCTGGCACTGAATAATACCATGTGAATGACAATGTGCTCATCCAAGCCATGACGTGGAAGACATCTCTGGAAGTCATAAAAAGCATCAGCACCATGTCAAAGTTTTGCAGTGCATAGCTCAAAGGAGAAGAATGGGGAGAAAAATAAAAACAGAACCCCTTTAATCATGCCAATGCATCACCATACCAATGATAAGTGCAAAAAACTCCTATACCATTTCAATATCAGATGAAAGAAAACAGTCAAATGGCAAGACCAGGAACTATTCAAAGTGACAAGTGCATTGAGTAACTATAAGTCAAAAAGTTTTAGTTCAAATAATGCAATATGCACTTAAAACGTTGTCAAACTTTAAATAAAGTTAATTTCTGATGTATAGGGTACTAAATTTTAAAACTAAAGCAAAAAAAAAGCTTTTCTCAGTTCTGGGGAAAAGAAGATTAATGCTTTATGGCACACACCATGACACGCAAGCATTAAATTATAAACAAGATTCATGCTTTATGGTACATAACATGGCATGCACGCTCAATGACATACTTGTCCTCAAGTCAAACAAAGTATAGTGCATGTCAATAACATTGCAGATTCAAACTTACCGCTTTCACAGATGAAATAACATAATCTATGCCAGGAGGAGTTAATAGATTTGATGGTATTCTGATCCTATAAAAGTCATCAGCTTCCAGAAGTTTCTGCAAAAAATATTCATCAATAGTTCATAACATTCAATCCTTCAAAATTGGATATTGAGCCAAAAAAAAGCACGCAAAATAAACAATTACTTTGAAATTATCCTTATCTGCAGCAGTAAAATCAGTCCTCGAGAATCGAAGCTTTGTCAGAGTCTGTTCCATACATATCAAGAAACGCTCAACATAGCCATCTACAATAATTTAAACAAAATCCATGTTCTATACATAAATATGTCAGCATTTATACTAAAATCCTAGCATAGCAATAGCATGTAACTAATCAAATGCAAAAAAATTGATTCAACTAAGTAGGAGTTCGAGTGAGGTACAGCTCCAATTGATCACGTACAACAATTCACTCCACTAATCAGTCAGCATTAAAGCTTAAAACATTTAACCCCAGCAACTCTAGACGTGTAAATAATACAAGTAAACTACCTGCGCAATCAAAGACTGAAAAAGCATTGAGTACTGCTGCTAAGCCCACAATCACGTGTATGTACTGAAAAAAGTAAAATTTTAAGGGGTCGGGCACGAACCTGACCGCTATGCGGCGAATTCTTTACCCGGGCAGCGAAGGTACCGGCAGGAGAGAAATCGGAGTCACCGAAGGCGTGCTCCAGAGTGAACTGGACCTTGGAGTCTAGGTCGGATCCGGAACTAAAATCCGGAGGAGACCTTTTCCGGGCCGGCTGAGATGGTCGGGCTGGAATAGTGGAGCCCACATCAGGGGTGGATCCCGAGCCCCCTTCAAGACCGAATTCTTCGTCGTCCACGAGGAGCTCGTCCGATTGGAAAGCAAACGACGACGTAAGAAGAAAAGAAAGAGTCAGCAGAAGAAGAATCCAGCTGGAGGATTTAGGAGAATATGCGGTGATCTTCATTTTTTCCCCCCCAAAATTATGGGGAAAGAAAGAATCTACGAGTTGAGAAGTCGGGCAGCGGAATTTGTCTGTTGGAGTAAAAACTAACGATTAGAACCCCAGAAGACTAATGATCAGAACACCAGAACTAATGAAGTCACGGAACATGAAAATTTCTTTTAAACAGTAAAGGCAAATTGCTATTGAATCCTTTGCTTAAAGTTCATTGATGTTTTTGTCCACTTCTTTTTACTTTCCTTCTCGGTCGCCTAGTTAGAGTATTTTTCTCTTACTATGCTGGGTAGTGGGGAAGGTACGGTTAGAAGTGCAAATGAGTCCAACCTAATCTAATAACACGCGAGCTTGCTCAATCAAAGTTTGAATTCGAACTTGTATTGATCGAGTTTAAACTCGAGTTTGATCTACTTGAACTATTTAATAAGTTGAGTTCGAACTTAATACATGAAAGTTGAAAGTTTCTTGAGCTTAATCGAGTTCAATCAAACTTCACATACACACACATATATTTTTAGGATAAAAAATCTATTTTGTTTCTTGTTTAAAATTATATGAATTTATATTTTTTTCAAACTCAATTAAGCTTAATTAAGCTCGATTGGGCTTAATGAACATAAGTTCGAGTAATGTAAAATAAAATCGAATTCGAGTTTGAACTTGACTTTCAAGAATTCAAAGAGTTCGAACTTAAGTTCGAATCCAAGTTTTTTTAATTACACTACTCGAGTTCGACTCGATTCGATTATACCCTAAACGGGGTTGGAGGTTGTTAGGGAAAAGACTATTGATGTATGAGTGTTTTTGGGTATTTTAAAATTTTTTTAGGCGTGTTTTTTTTTTGTGTTATCTTTACTCAATGTTTTTAAACAAAATTTTTGAAAAGGAAATACTCTATATGTATATTTGTATTTTAGTCTCCATTGGGGGATGGCTTTAATTTTTTAAAATAGAGCAAATTTTTGGCTAACCTATCCAATTAAGCATGTGTTTGTTAAAATAGATCTGGATACCAAATCTTTTTCAGATATTATTTAATATAAACATATTTTTCAATTACGTTTTTATTTTTTCATCTAATACTTTTTTTATTTCACATAAAATTCATTATTATAAAAAGTGTTATAATAAGTATCTTATCCAAGCACATGTTTTACCATGATTTTACCTCACAAAAAAT